ATATTTTTGAATTGAAGTTATTTGTTTGGATTGATGACTACGCATCTAGTTGATTACGTATTATTCGATTGATGTATGTAATTTAGTTTTAAGGAATATGAATTGGATTTTCAGGTTTGAAAAATACGATAATGACATTGGTAAATTAAATTGGCACAATTCAATTAGATTTTAGAGTTTTCTGAACTTTAAGTGATTATGTGTTAATCGAATGCATGAAGGTTTTCGTGTGAAAGCTGAGTTCGAATTGAGGTTTCATTCGGATTTATTATTAATTACCGAATTGTTTGTTGATGTATTCTCTTAAAAATCCAGTAATAGAGTAGTCATTGTTCTTCTTAATTCTTGGATTGGAATTTCAATTTCTGTTCACTCTTCATTCTAATTATAATTAGTTGCGTTTTTTGTTTCTTTTATAAACAAATCCCCCGTCTTATATACTCCCTAAATAAATTAATTCGTCCTTGTGATTCTTTGAGAAACGACCCTAGTTGCTTACCTCGTACTATAGTAATTAGGTGTATTTTGACCCGTGTGCGACCACGTGTCAATAAGCCAGCTGAAGAAAACATTCTTGCTATCTCTGCTCTAAGTTAATTCCTTTCATCAATATTGAAAACCCTTTCTAGTGCACCACTTCCTTTTTTTAATATTTTTTGGGATAAGGTTGCGGGAGTTGAATGTAGTGGGATAGTTTTAGACTTAATTTTATTCTTAGCTTTTTCACAAATTCTTTTCAAATCAGCCAAGTACCCAGCAGTGACCTTAGGACAAAGAGCAACACCAGCACCATAAATTTTAAGTAAATGTGCTTTCACTCTTGAGTATGAACTTTTGACCACTTTCTCACAAAAATTACAACTTCATAGCTTGTTGCCTCCTCCATCTCTTAGCTTATCTTTATAGTGACAAATGCCCAAAGTGGAGCGTGATCATTTTGAAGTTCTAATAAACCAAAATTACTTTAGAATTTTAAAATTAGACTCAGTACCATAACTCATTTTTTGTCAACAAACACAGAGGTTAAAAAATGCAAGAATAACATTTTTACCTATTGCTGTAAAATGAATAGAAAATAGGAGATTAAAAAAGAGCAAGTTTGTGAGATTTTAGTACAACTGGAATAGAGTAACAACGATTAAAATTGTTGTTAAAGTCCAAAGAAGAGGAACAAAGTTAAGAACTATTGCTACAATGAAGCCCTAGCAGTGACGAAGGCGGTGCTTAAGGTTGTCGACGTTGCTTTGACTGCCATCATACACACTCAAAACAAAAATTCCATCACTCATTATCACTATGGAATTAGAGTCATATTAGGTGATTATGAATCGTATCCCAGTTATATCTAAGTTGTATCAGGTTAGAAATTAATTTTTAAAAATAAATTAAATTATTGATACTTTTAGGATACATTTCTAGACGTATCAAACATGTATTGGTATCAGTACGTGTCTGACATGGGTACTTTGACTATTTTAACATATCTAGGCTTCATAGCTGTTGGGTTTATTGTGTAGAAACAAGATGAACAATTTTATTGGAGACTCTTATAGGCTTGAATCTCTTGGGACTTGCGAGATAATCATTCAACTTATAACATTTATCCTTTGTGTGATCAAGAATGTCACAGTGATCACAAAAAGATTTGTCTTTCTTTGTATTCTTAGCTTTTGACCCATAAATTTGTTTTATAGACTTATTGTCATACTATATTATGAGGTTATTGCTTAATCAATATTCTCTCCAAGTTATGAATAGTCCATACTACTATTCTCATGGAACATACTCAAACAAGGTAGCTTAGTCACATCTACATTTACTTATTTAGTAGAGTTCAAAGCTACAAGACATATGGTTGTAAAAGATGAAACTATAAAAGTTCTGAATTCGAGAGATGTTGGTGACAATAAAGAAAGATGAAAGAATTTTCTTTTACACATGTTTATTTTTTACTCATACCTTAATAAATATAGTCCCTTGATGATCAATAAAAAAAAAAAAACAAATAATGTTGTTTAAGACTTTAATAAAGTAGATATTACTATTTATATGATTTTTATCCATGTTGATATATAAAAATATATTATAACATTGTTTATCATTCATATTTATTTGCTTTATTATAATATTTACCATTTTACACTTAACTAAATAGAATAATATAATTTAATCATGTATAATTTATTTTCACAATAAATAATTAAAATTTCTTTCATGCTTAATTCAAATTTATTTATTAAGTTGATACTAATTGATGACTTAATCTTCTCTTTAATTTATAATAAATAATTAAATATAATAATATAATTTTATCACACTTAATTTTAAATTTATTTGTTAAGTTTACATTAATTTATGTGATTTTTACACTTAATTAAATATAATAAAAAATAATATTTTTAAAACATAAAAGATTTCATTAGTATTTTTGGAATAATAAAATTATTTTCATTGGTAAAAAAACGTCACGAGAGTTTTTTGGATGAGAAAAAATTATATATATATATATATATATATATTTTAAAAAATATCATTGCTATTTTTAAAATTTAACAACCCCAAATTCTCTTATTTTAGTATTAAGAAGTTTTTTCATATAAGCCGCATAATATAATAACGTAGTGTTTTTTTTTTTTTTCCATTTTCTTAATGGTTTTGCTGGTGCATTTCCACTCACTATAACTTGATGCGCAAATAAATAGGAACCAAACAGTGTGTTAGCATTGGGTTTAAAAATATAACAGCGTGGCATCAATTAAATTGGTACGGTCCAAGGACAAACAATTCAGTGTAGGGCGTCTCTTTGGATGTCAATTACTGTAATACTATTTCGGTAAATTAGTGCTTTTTTTTCAATTCAAATGTTAAAATCAATTTACTCTTTCACTTTGTTTTAATTCTTTAATTTTTTATTAAATTTTAAATAATTCATTTTTATTAAAAATATTAATTTTATTCTTTTTTTTATTTTTTTCTATCATCGTACATTATATATTGTTTTTTTTAAGTTTTTATAAATTATTTACTGTTTTCATTTTTAAGAAAGAAAGAAAAAAATTAAGAAATAAAAAAATAAAATTTTAGAGAAGAGAAGAAATCTAATAAAAAAAGATGATAAATAATAGATGACATGTGAAAAAAAAAGAAAAAAAAATACTAAAGGAATTAATTTTTCAAAATTTAGTTGGATGTTTTCACAATTGTTGGATGACTATATTTTGAGCATAAAACAAGTGAAGGAACATAATTTGATTTTTTTTTTTTTCACAAAATAGTTGAAAGACACAAGTGAGATAAGAATAAAACAAATGTGATTTCAAAAAAAAAAAAAAAGCCTTTTAACATCGTAGAACTTGTACAATATGGTAGCATAGTTAAGGGGCTTGTGCATGACCATTGTTGTTGAAAATGGGAGTGAAAGCTAGAATAATCAAATAGAGAAAGAGAGACAGAAAAGGGATTGAAGGAAGAAAATAAATAAATAAGAGAAAATAGATTATTTTTCTTTTAAAAAATTTATGTATTGCATTTAAGAGGAAGAGAGGTTGGTATGTACTAACCATTGACCCAGCTAAGAAACTTTAATATATATTTTGTTTACTTATTCTACCAATAGCTTATATAATATTTTATAAAATAAATATTAAGAAATATTTTATTAATTTTAACTACTGAACTTAAATATTCAAAAGTGAGTTTTTATCAAAAAATTATGATATTAAAAAATATAAAAGTATAAAAATATTTTATTTTGACAATTAGTATATAATCTTCTAATTTTATTTTATTTTTATTTTAGTTTGGTTCTCTAACATTATTTTATTTTATTTTAGTTTTCTAACTTTATTTTCTGTTTCATTTTAATCTTGTAAGTTTTAAATGTCATTTTTCTATTAATTTTTTAATTTCTTTTTTCTTTGGGTGCTGTTCAGTCATGTTTTTCTCTATTGTTACCGCATGCTTAATGATGACATTAAATAAAAATGGTGGTTGGGTGCTTGAGATGTTGGTGTCGTAGTTGGAGGCAATGAATGGTGGTAGTGCAATTGCACACAGGGTGTTATATTAGTATATATGTTCGAGTAAGTAGAAAATGAGTAGTGATGAAGGTGAGTAAAAACAGAACAAATAGAAATGCTTGCGTGTATGAGTAAAATAAAAATAAAAATGAGAGAATGAAAACAAACATGCTCTAAATGTTTGATAAAGACAAATATATATATATATATATATAAGAAAGTGAGTGAAAGAAACATGTATGTCACGAATGAAAATAGAAATAATGTTGTATAAGTGCTTGAAGTTGAAGAGAAGAAATAAAAAAACTAACACTAACAATTAATAAAGAAAAAAAAGATAAAAAATTAAAATTATCAGAGGTAATATTGTCAATATAAAATGTTTTTTTTTAAATACGTTTAAAAGTTAAAATATTAAAATAAAATAAAATAAATCACAGAACTAAACTAAATGAAGTTAAATGATTAATATATTAATTTATCTTTTTTAAAATAGAATTTTATTTTAAATTCAATTTTAAAGGATAAATTATTAATTTTTAAAATAAAAAATATATATTTACTAATATTATAAAGATAAAACATATTTAATATTTTTATAATAATTAAGAGAAATAATATAAATAATAAAAAAATAAAGTTATTCATCTCACAAGTATTTTTAAAATAATTTTATTGAGTCATTAAAAATTAATATTATATTATACTTTTTTATCTTTTAGATGTAAAAATCTTGACAAAATATTTTAAATATAGGAATTACTTTAATTATACTTCATTGAGAACAATCATGTTGGAGTGAACTCTGTCTCCTAATAGTCACTATTCGTTCCAGATAAAAGGAAAATTCCAATAATAATAATTTTTATTTATTTTAAAATATTTAAAACTGAAAATTCAAACTATTTTCATGTTATTTTATTTTCTCCGGTAATTTAGAGGACCATTCTATTTAAATATCAACGCCAAGAGCAGCTACCTGATTTGGATGAGTGGGACCCAATCAATCAAAACACACAGTATTGTGTTCTCCGTCCATGTCGTCGATGGCGGAAAGCGAGGATTCACGGATGCTTCAGAAGCTGAGCCGCATCGCCACCCAAATCTCCGAAATCCCTTCCTTCAAGACCGTCATCAAGAGGCGATGCTGGGACCTCACTCGCAGAATAAGGTTCCTCACACCTCTCTTTCAAGAACTACAGAACGACGTCGTTTTGAGCCACGACGTTTACGACGCTCTTGATTCGCTCCATGAAGCTCTCCTCAAGGCCAAGGAATTGCTCCATTTCGCTTCCCAAGGAAGCCAGCTTTTCATGGTTCGTTGTTTTAAATCTCAATTTACATTCTTCCTTTTTTGTCATTTATTTAAATTTTCATTATAGAGTTGGGGAGCGTTTGTAAAAGCTTACATAAATATTATGGAAATAATTTTTTTAGCTCCAAATAAATTTTTTCAGCTTATTTTAATTTTTTAGTATAGTTTATGAGGTTACTCTAAAAATTTTATGGTTAAATTTATAGGACAAGGCTTTTTGAAAAATGAGTTTGTTGAATAGACGACTAATTAATCTGTATTCCCAAACATGCCCTTAGTTCTATTAGTATAACAATTGATTGTAATTGCAGATACTGGAGAGAGAGCAAATTAAGTGCAAATTCACTGATGTTGCTGTTCGTTTTGAACGTGGAATAAGCAAGATTTCCTTTGACGAACTTGATATTTCTGAAGAAGTTAAGGAACAGGTGAATGTTTGCTTTAGACACTTTTACGCCAACAAGAACGTTAAAGTGCTTTATTTCAATGTGAAACTTATTGAAATAAGATAAAAATGAGTTTATAGAGAGTCATAAGTCACTTTTATAAACTTAATTAAACACTTGCTCAAGTGTTTATATAATATATGATAAGTCTCTTTCAAATGTCTCTGAAGAAATGTGGTTTACCTTGGTGTTTTGGTCTTTCGCTTTGTAGTGAGTTGTTAATTTCAATTTTTGTTACCACTTGCTACCTTTCCTGTGTTTGGACTTTAATGTCTTGTTTATCTGCTTCTATTATCATTTCAGGTTGCGCTTGTGACTGCGCAGTTTAGAAGAGCCAAAGAGAAGTTTGATCCACCAGGTCTTGAGCTTTATGAGCACTTGTTGCCCGTTTTCAACCAGAGCTATGATGTGAATACTGAAACTGCTGAACTATGTTTAATCTGTGAAAAGCTACAATTTACCCATGTGGATGACATCAAACAAGAGTCACTCGCTCTACAGAAGATGGTAGTAGACAGGGGTTTCCCTTTTGAGAAAAGCATACACGATATGTCTATAGTGCTGAAAAAATTTGAAGAATTCTTGGTGATGAAATCTGGAAACAATGTTGTGTCAACAAGTGAGGATTTCCCTCATACTGATGAGCCATATGTGAAACTATGTCCGCAATCACTGGTTGTACCTGATGAGTTTCAATGCCCAATATCTCTAGAGCTAATGAAAGATCCTGTTATCATTTGCACAGGGCAGGTTTGTATTTGATATCTATTTTTTAATTGTTTATATGTGTGATAAAAGCGTAGAAGGTCTTATGACTTACTGGTATATTTAGGTTATTGGCATGAAAAGTAGAAACCAAAGTTGCTTGTTATTGGTACCTTTACATGTGTTTATTTGGTATATGGTTTATAGTTACTTGTATACTTATGTGGTAACTTATGAGCAATTTTTGGTTCTGCTCCTTTTTCTATCATTAAGAAATAATGTGATCCCTATGTCTTTACAATATGCGATTGTAAGCAGCAATCAGTAACCCAGAATGATGCTTGTTACAAAACTGCTTGAAGGGAACTGGAGAACATAGTTTTTGGAAAAAATTATGTAAAAATTCAAGTACGCTGGATCAAGGATCAATGTACCTTGTGAGTCGTGAATAAGTAATCACAAAATAAAAAAATAAAAAATCTATATTTGAGGTTTATCTGCTATTAAAATTGTTCTTGAAAAGCAGCTGCGTACTGGTCATAGAAAAATGTTTAGTTGGTTGTCTTTATTCATGTATTGCTACGTTATTTACTAAGTAGTAAATTTGATGTTATCGTGTGATACTGGTAATATCAACAGTTAGATGATACACATCATTGTAATGTTGCTTATAATATTAGCATTTAGATATGTATGATCATAGCTTGCATAATTTGCTTTAGTTATAAGCATTTTTTATGCTAATATATTGTATAAAATAATTTGATGCAGTTAAACGAAAACAACCTATATCTTTTGAAGATTGAGTTTTCTATATAATAAATAAGTATACTTTGGAGACCAAAAGATTCTTTTTATTTTGTATGCTAAGGAACATAGAAGTTATTGCTGGAAATACTTAGTAAAAAAAAGTTCTTTTTCTCCTTTCCTTTTGAAAGTAAGAGAAATATAATGTTACTAAGACAATGTGTTAAAATCTGTTGAATTTATTCATTTTTTAAAAAGAATAGTTTGATGTCTTGGTAGAATATACATTGGATTTATTTTATGTTTTAAAGTCTATGAGAGCCCTGCTATCATTGAGCATGTGGCTCAACATGGGTAATTAGAACAGCAGTTGGGGTTGGGAGATTTATTTCAGCATGAAATTTATTGACTTATCTAATATTTAGTCCTTCTTTGGAAGAGGGAATGAAGTATAAAATATTATGATATTATCCAGAAGTATGTTCAAGACTAGAATATATTTTTCTGTAGTATTGCAGAGTTATATAGCATTATGAAATGTAAACTACTGGAAGTTTGAGACACTAATGCTAATCAAGCTTTAAACTCACAGAACTCTTTCCCAATTCCCATCCTCCTGCAGGGCATTGGATCTTCTTAGGGTTTTCGCTTCAGTTTCGTACAGGATCCAATGTTTGAGCTGGTGTTTTTTTTTTTTTTCTTATTTCCTCTCTCTGTGTGTGTGCACATGTTGGGGATGGAGTGGAGTTTTTGGGTAGTGGCAGAACTAGCCATTAATGTGATTGTTGTTTTGAGGCGGTCCATGCATAAAGAGAAAAACTAGATGAAAAATAGTGGATTTTAAAAATTCGATGAAAAAGTGCACCCCTAGTCTTGGGTAAATTGATAGCAATACTTTTAGAAACAAAAAGTTTTGAATACTTGAGCATGGACTAGTAAGAAATTTAGAATTTGTCCATATTTAGAACCTTTTTAATTATGTTATCTTGGCTCTTTTTGTAGACATATGAACGATCTTGCATAAAGAAATGGCTTGCAGCAGGGCATGAAACATGTCCCAAGACTAGGCAGATTCTTTCCAGCCGTGTCCTCATACCTAACCATGTTTTATACAGTCTGATATCAAATTGGTGTGAGGCTAATGGAGTGGAATCACCTAAAAGATTAGGAAGTTTACGACTTTGTAAGACAGCATCTGATGGATCTTCTGAGTTAATAGATCTTGATATCTTGATGAACAAACTTGCTTCTAATGATATTGACAATCAGCGATTGGCAGCAGGTAAGCATTGTATCAAACACATTTCTTCTCTTCCTTCCTTTCTTTCTTACACGTACATGTGCATGCATGCTACCGGACATGAATGTTAAGATATCACATAAGAATATAGTCAAAATATTCCTAATAGAACTTGGACAGTTCTTCCCCCTTGATTAGATTTTGGGGTTGAATTAAATCTAATGCATTTCTAGTATGGTAGTAGAGTAGATTCAATTATGATGTTGAGTTGCTTACATATGTTCCGTCCTATAAACTTCATAATCTTAATGTTTAGTCCTTGCTGTGATTTATTGTGTTAAGGTGCCTACATTGACTAGGAATATGATATTAATACTCCTTATAAGACTGAAATAATCCTCATTGCTTAATCTAACTTTTGGAATGGAAGACAGTTTGGAATTGTTATTGATTCCCAACAAATTTTAGTATAGCCTATGGTCATACGATCTTTTAGTGTTCTCAAAATCTCTTAAACCATTGATGGATGAGAATTCTTCTTTCATTTGGTGTAGGAGAACATTGATTTGGGTTTCATAGATTAAATTTAAGATTTTGTTTAGTTGATTAATGCTTGATATAGGCATATTGAAAGGTTATTGAGCGTAGTTGAAGGCAGGAGGTGTTTGCAAGCAATAGATTGTGGTTTAAGGGATAAGATTGCTGGCTGTTTTGGTCAAATTTGAAGCAACAATCAACTAAAGATTTGAGGGGACAATTTTTTTATGATGCTTGCCAATGAAATTTGATGTTTGAAGTTGGTAAAAACAAAAATCAATAAAAGATGAAGCAGAAGATAAGATGAAAAAAATAAGCATCAAAGCAATAACTATAGGCTTTGCATGTAGGTTAAGGGTTTGATCATACTAAACAATCAATAAGAATGCATTATGCTGCTATCCTTCTCTAGGAAAGAGTGTTACAACTTACATCTTAAACAGACCTATAATTCATTTGGCATTAATTAAGAATAAGTCATAATCGATTTGGTATTAAGCTATGATGCATGGGTACTAATACAAGTATTGGGTGTGGTGTGATATGATACATAAATATGATAATTTTTAAAAGAATTAGGAGATGGGTATGACAAAATATATTATGTAAAATATAATTATTGTTATAACTTGCTTATATTTTATTAATTTTTTATTTATTTATTTTTAATATAATTGGTATTTGTATTGGTTTATTATCATCTCCATATTACTTATTGGGTGTGGTGTGATATGATACATAAATATGATAATTTTTAAAAGAATTAGGAGATGGGTATGACAAAATATATTATGTAAAATATAATTATTGTTATAACTTGCTTATATTTTATTAATTTTTTATTTATTTATTTTTAATATAATTGGTATTTGTATTGGTTTATTAGTCTTTAACCTCTTAAAAATTTATCAAAAAGCATTATCATAATCAAATTGAAACAGAAATATTATATTCAATTATGATAATAATCCCTTTATTATCCAAAGAAAATATATATATTAATAGATTTCTTGATAACACAATCAAGTTTTGATATTGAAGCAACCATATATTGCATAATTAGATTTAAACAAAAGTATTACATTCAAGTTATGATAATAATCCTTTTATTATCCAAAGAAAAAATGTATATTAGTAGGTTTCTTGATAAAACAATCAGGTTTTGATATTGAAGCAAGCATATATGTGTATTGAGTATCTGGTAACAGTACAATATGAATATGTTGCCAATTTTGAAGTATTTGTGCATTATCGGTATTAAGACTTTACTACTACTAAAGCTATAAGGAAAGCAAAGAAATAGGAAGATAAGTAAAATACCTCGTAACAATTATTATGGTCTTTAGATTGTTACAATTATTCCTCACCAAAATCTAAACCAAAACATTAAGATGATTTGATCGTAAGGCTTATGTTTTGCTGTGTAGTAATCCTCTGAGCACCAGACAAAACTTTGGTACTGTGAAATTACTGCTGCTGTAAAATGTAGTAGTAAATATAATCCATATATTTCAAAATATAAAGAATTAATGGGTTATAATAAAAAAAAAAAAACCACCTGAAATCACTTGAGGTTAGAGCAAGATACTTCTCAATGGTTTCTCCTAATGTTTTCTTAAGTATATTGTCTGACTACATTTTTATTCATCTTCATTTCTTATTTTGGTCATGCTTTCTGGTGCTAAAACTCCTCAAGCGTATTCTTTTATGTCCATCATTAAATAAACATCAGAAATAAGTCTTGTATCTTTCCTTGATATCCTACTTAGTTTACAAAACTTTTCCATCTTTCTTGGATTTTACTTGATCTTAATCTCTTTCTTTCCTTTTTCTCCCCTTGGCATGTTTGTGTATCTGCGCTTTCCCATTTTTCATGCCTAATGATTGACATTACCTCTCAAAAGCGTTGGCTTTTGTCTGGTAACTGCCTACTTAGTCTTCTTAGTGTTATCTTCTTTATAATTTTCCCAGTTTTAAGCACTTCTATACAGTACAAATTTTTTGTTCATATGATTTCATCCGAGACTGCATCAATTCTCCAAATTGCTACCCTTTTTTTTCATCGATTCAAGAATGATGCACACACTTCAACTGCTGGGTGAACACCATGGAAGGTTTAATGCTGATGGAAGTTTAATTATTCTTGGTGAATAAATTATGTGAGCTATATGCACAGATCCAATATGTATGTTTAGCAGTTGAATTTATGAAGGGATCTTGTTTTTGGGTGAATAAAAGTTTAGGGTGAGGGGATGCTCACTCATTCTAAGGTCCAGTATATGCCATGAGCTTTAGCAGAATCAAACTTGACGTTTTTGTCTACACAATTCAATCTTACCAATGAAGGGATCTTAATTTTGTTTGAAGCAGAATTTTGCTTTGCTTTTTGATATCCTTTTAATGTGAGAACAATGCTTTTGTAGGGATCTTTCAAAACTCCATCCTAGTATTTCCTAATGATGATCTGTTGATAGAAACATTCTTTATCCTCATTTTACTGTAGGGGAGCTGCGACTTCTTGCCAAGAACAATGGTCAAAATCGAATGCTGATTGCTAAAGCTGGTGCTATACCCCTCCTTGTTGATCTCCTTTATGTACCTGATGCTGGCACCCAAGAGCATGCAGTCACTGCTCTACTGAACTTGTCTATCTATGAGGATAATAAAGCATGCATCATGGCCTCAGAGGCTGTGCCAGGTATCCTTCATGTGCTAGAAAATGGTAGTATGGAAGCTCGGGAGAACGCAGCAGCCACCTTTTTCAGTCTCTCTGTGGTGGAGGAGAACAAAATGGTAATTGGTGCATCTGGAGCAATCCAGGCATTAGTTACTCTATTTTGCAAGGGAAGCCAAAGAGGGAAAGTGGATGCCGCAACAGCACTTTTCAGCCTGTGTTTATATCAAGGGAACAAAGGACGAGCAATTAGAGCCGGTATTGTTCCCAAGTTGATAGAAATGCTAACTAAACCTGGTGGGGAGATGAGAGATGAAGCATTGGCAATCATGGCTGTAGTAGTTAACCATCCGGATGGAAAAGCAGAAATTGGATCTATGAATGTTGTGCCCACTTTGGTGGAGTTAATAGATAATGGATCTTCTAGGAATAAAGAGAATGCAGCTTCAGTGTTAGTGCACCTCTGCAGTGCCGATCCTCTACATCTATCAATTGTTAGTTCACTTGGGTTGATCAATCCTCTCTTGGACCTGGCAGAAAATGGTTCAGAAAGGGGCAAGCGAAAAGCTGCCCAACTTCTAGGCTTGATAGGAGACCATTGTGAATACACTAGGAAACTGTCAACTAGATTTTAGGTGCTTCTGTTGCCTTTTTAAGTTGCAGCAGCTGGCATAAATAGTGATCAAGGATATGATTTACAAAAGATTACTTGTATAGGATCCCCAATATTTCCTTTTTATTTTTTAGTTAAAAGGAAATTTCCATTTTACTCAACCAATCATTTTGTTGAATTGTATCACCTGTGCTGCAAGGCTGGTAAGATGTGTTAGGTGGCTGTTCGACACAGTTGCAATATTGATTTTTTTCCCAGAAGAAAAAATTGTGTATACTTTTTCATCTCAAACGCCTACTGGCAGTTCTTTTTTGCAATGGAATGTCTTTAACAGTTGTTTAGCCCCATGTTTCCTTGTCTATCTTGTGCTTTAGATTCTTGTCTTTCGGTGGAAAGTTTAATTCACAATCTTGGACCAAATGGTTGCAATATAATATTATTTTCCCCTTTCTTTCCGGGAGTGGAATTTTTGTGATGCAGGTCATCTCAGGAAATAGACAAGTCTCGATGTCGATTTCCACAAAGATTTAGTAAAATCATTGTTGATAATGGGAGGATGGGTTACGTGATTCATTATTCCTGGTTAGGATACCTGAATAACACGGTCTCTTTTTTGTTTTGGCTGATGTCACTATTCTTACATGAATGTATTTGAGAAAAAAAAAAGCCATGATGTTGAAATTGAAAAAAGGAAGCCATTGCGTAATGTCAAATAACTTTCCTTGCAATGTTTGGGACCATGGAGGATCCAGCATAACTAAACCGATCATGAAAAACAGTTAATCAAGTATTGGATATTGTTAAAACCAGAAAGGAAAATGGGTAGAAAAGGGTTACCATATTATAAAGGTTATGTAGTGCTACAAAGGTGAGTTAGCATAATGTGGAAAGAGATACATTGGCACTACAGCGACCGGGAATCAGGAAGACAATAACTCGATAGAAACCCTTCGAAACATGATTAATTTTCCAAGTATGTGGCTGCTGTCTGAAAGTCATTTCATTTTCCACAATGCGTGCATGATCTTCATCAACTAAGTCATCACTCAACTGTTTTCTTGGATAAATAAGGGAACGCGTGGCATGCCTCCTAATAAAGTTTCCCTTTTCTTATTTCATTTCATGTAGGGATGTTAATTCGGTCGAGGCCAATAGATTTTCGTGTTAGGTTAGGTAATTTAAATGAGGATAAAAAATTTGCTAGCCCAGTCAAGTTCAACGTGGGCTAAGAAGCCAAATTGACCAGCTCATTAGCCACTATTCTTTTAAATTTGAATTTTTTAAAAAATAATTGATAAAAAAATAAGAAAAAAATTGTATTTTAAGAATTTAAATCCAAATTCAATTTTTGACTCATATTTTGTTTGTTGGATTTTCCTCCTATAAATTGAGTAAATGTGTATCTGAATACATAAATTATTTAAGTACTTAATAATTTTAATAAAAATTAAGATGGGCCAAAATTTAATTAGGTCAAAATTTTCAATACTCAACCTATATTTTTTATTGAATTCAATGGGTTAATTCATCAACATCAACTTATTTTCATAGCCTAATTCAAATCATTAGGTTTATGACAAAAAATATATTAGGTTTAAAACAAAACATTGTCTAATTATTTTTGGACATCTCTTTTCTTTAAAAGTTGAGTCGAACATAATGTTAGAGACTATTAATACTATTTTTTATGCAAAAAGAAAATAGAGCTCTTACAAAAAGTTAACTAGAACAAAATTTTCTTTCATGAAGAAGAAAAACCGAAAATTTATGCCAAATGTTACCTTTAAAGTAGAATTTACAAGTGCACAACATTTTCTCGTCTTTGGAGTTTGATCTAAGCTCCCTCCTTACTTCCCTCCGCTCTTAAATACAGTTTCCGAGAGCCTATCGCTAATATTGGTTCATATATTTTTAATATGAAATAAAAGCAGAGAAAAAGTGATCGAGAAGAATAAAATCTAATATTTTGTTTTTATCGGTATATGCATTCATGGATAAATATAACTTTTTCCACACTTCTTTTTCAGATAATCTTTTTGTTTTCCAAACAACGGGGTAAGGTTTAAAAAAAAAACAATGCAAAAGGTGCAACGCTAGTTGCATTGTCCCTTTTATTGTCCGTTTATAAAACAAAAAGGCGTAAAGTTTATCGTAGTAAAGCAGTTATTTGTTTCAATTTGAAAAAAGCAAAAAACCTTGCTGGATTCATAACTTCTATCAATTCAATTTAATTATAATAAGATTTTAATTGTTATAAGATTGCCGAAATATATATATATATATATATATATATATATATATATATATATATATATATATATATATATATATATATATAGACATACCACACGATTATCCTAAACTGCATGTCATCCCATTTACAAACACACTTCAAACTTTAATTTCATTTCAATTATATGAATAGAACATAAACAATCTATGGAATTGATAGACCCTTCTATTAAACATGTTAATTTAATAACAAAAAACTAAACGGAACTTTAGGTATTAATGAAGTTAAATCATGTAGTGACTGCAATAATAGAATCCCCCTATTATACAGATACCATAACAATTGTAGAATTTTAGGTAAGTAGAGAAAGACACATAAGTAGAGTTTAGTCCTTATTTGTGATTATTGAAAAGTTTGATGAAGTTCAATAATGTTATAATTAGGTTTTTGGTCTCTATAAAAGTAGTGTCCTTTAAAATTAAACTTTGAAATTCGCTTCCAATATTCTTCTCTTTCTATCTCTCTAAAAGTGTAAAAAAGAAAAAAAAATAAGAAAAGATCCCAAAAATTTTGAGTTTCATATTATTTATAGTTTATCTTGCGCTTTTGACATACCTACCTTTGGCAAAAAGAAAACGTTTATGTGCAGCATGAACAACACTGAAGTGAACACTCTTTGTGATAAAAGTGTTTATGCACATAGGCAATTGTCTCCTACACCTTTGTAGTGAACACTCTTGATCCTAATAGTGCTTACACGCAAGTGTTTTGCATAATACAACTTCTGGAGTGAGCACTTCCAACAATGAAAGTGTTCATGCGCAACATGATTTCCCATTCAAGTTTTTGTGGTGAGCACTCTTAGTCCTAAAAGTGTTTATGTGTATGTTGTTTCTCCCTTTGAAGCTATGTAATACTCACTTTTGGTACAAATAATGCTTAAGCGTAGCATGAACCTTCTCAAAAGCCTTTAGAGTGACTACTTTCAACATGTGTGAGTAGATAAGGACTTACTTGATGAATATATTTATCAATCTTAGGGAAAATGTTAAAAAATTATCTAAGTGAGATAATGCCTAAGCCATTGAAGAGATTGGATTAGGAAGTTGAAAAATCAGAAAATTGTATAGCAACCTAGGGTGGTGAAGGAGAATTTGAAGTTACCTACTTGCATACGTTTAAAAAATCTATGGTTGATTTGTGTAGGCATTATTGTTCATGCAACTTTTGGGGTCTTGTTGGCATATCACGCAAACATGCAATGACAACCATGAATTTCAAGAAATATAGACTAATTGATTATGTTGATAAATATTACTTAAAAGAAATATATGCTCAATGTTATAGACATAAGATTTCTTTAATAAATGATGTTGATATATTTCACGTGACAATGTATGATCAAATAGAACCTCTTAATTACAACAGAGGTTGTGGAATACCTAAGAAGCTGAAAAGGAGAGAAACAGATGAAGTTCAAAATAAGACTAAATTTAGAGGGACCCTGCTCCTTATAAGTGTGGGAGATGTGGAACTCAAGGTTATAACAACAGAAAATGTCACTTACCACCCCCACTTCCACACCCTAGTGTTTGTCATTGTATATTCATTTATCTATTGTTCCTTTTGAATTGTGTTGTATATGCTTAAATTATATGAATTTTCATCAGTTGGAATATATATATATATATATATATATATGTGTGTGTGTGTGTGTGTGTGAGTTATATAATTGCTGAGTAGGACATGTGCATCAATGCTGGGTAGTTGTTTTGTTTAATATAATTAGCAGTGGGAGTTTGTGATCAACTACTAAGTGTTTTATGAGTGTGAAAACATAGGGATATAACAAAGGACTTGTAAAACCTTCATTCTTGAAAAAATAGAGAATTTTAGGTTTAGGGTTTCTCACTCAAGCGAGGCAAATTGGTTTGTGCTTATTTGAGCATTCTGGAGTAATCTCACTTGAGCGAGATTAGTCTGGCTTTAGTAAGATCAGATAAGACTGCTCCAACTGTCCTCTCGCCCAAACAAGAAAGGATCTTGCTCAGGCGACGAGTCGTAGGAAAATGGAGAGCTCTTTGGATTCATTCTCACTTTGACAATAATGCTACTCGCTCAAGTGAGATACCTCTCGCGCAAGCAAGAATAGTAGAAATTTGGATAGTTTCACTATATGATTTTCTTACCCAGGCGAGAGTAAGGCTCGCTCAAGCGAGAGTTGGCTTGCTTAAGTGAGAAAGCACGGACATGGAGGGGTATTTAAGGGATCTTAGCGTAGAAAAACATTCAATTTTTACAAAATTACCTTCCCCTCTCATTTTCTCTCCGTTCTCTCACCTTCTCCCCTTAGAGAAAATCTTTTTGGAGCCAAACTTCTTCCCAATCCAAGTGACAACATCCATTTAGTACAGATCTAGATGAATTCCTAGGATTTGGTTCTCTAACTCTACTCATTATTTCTTAGGTTTCTCTTCTTAAAGGTTTCTATTTTGTAATAATAAATAGATCTGAGTCCTTGAGCATTGTTTCTCTATTTGAAACTCACGAGGATTTTGATCTAAGAAAACTCATTCTAGGTAAAGGGAGCTTACCTAGGTTGGCCTTATTCACTAGATGCCGGGATATTTATACATACTTTTGTTTTAGCTAAGAAAAAGTTGATGTATGAACAAACCTTAGGATAGAACTCAAAGTATATGTGGCCGAATGAATTTTCTATGGTTTGGTGGATGATATAAAATTGGTTGTATGTGGAAGAAATATTTGAAATGCTGATATTTTATGGCTGTGATAAAAGTTTGAAATGCTGAGACTGAATGAAATTATTATTATTATTATTATTATTATTATTATATATATATATATATATGGTTGTGAGACTGAATAAAATTATATATATGGTTGTGCTACATCATGTTAACTTATATTATTCTAGAGTCAAGTTACATGTCTAGGTAGTTAGACATTTAACGATAGAAAAGCTGAGTTGTGATTTGTCTAAATTCAGATATCGAGATAGGTCGCTCCCAAATGAGAAATAGTTCGTTTTGGATTACTTAGATTGTAAAATTAATTAGAACTGAAATATTACATTTGCATTAGAT